CCACCTCCCCATCCACCTCCATTGGTTGTTCCTCCTCCACCTTCATGTCTACTTCCACGGGCTGCTCGCCCAGCCTCACTTGGCTCTGTATTTTCTGCCTCGGATACAGTGCCCGAGGGGCAGGGAACAGGGCAGTAGGAACGGGAAGGAACGAAAAGGGCTGGGAGTAGGGCAGGAGGGCAGAGCAGGAACAGGGCAGATGGGATGGCGCGCACAGGTGGGAGCGGGGCAAAAGTGTGGGCTCAGGGGTGAGGGTGTGTGCTGTTGCCTGGGCACGCGCGGTTGCCACTGTAACGCGGGCTGTGACATCACCCCAGAGTTCCAGAACTGCTGTGAGCATTGGATGGGGACGAGCCCTGAAGGGGCTGCAGCTTCCTGGGGGACACTGGGCAATCGTTACGTGACCTCCTGAGACCACAGAGACAAACTTTGGTGCTTAAATCATCAATAAAATGGGTGAAGCCTGTGCTGGCCACCTCCAGATGTGCCAGGACCGTCTCCTGTGCTCCTTCCCTGTCCCACAAGCAGTCAGTGATCGACCTGAGCAGTGCTCCTGTGCTGCAGTTGGGATGCGTCCATGGGGTTGGGATTCAGCCCTGCTCAGCCACGTCCTCCAGCCGTGCCCGTCTCGGGTGAGCCCGTGCCAGAACCTGCGCCCTACGCGCAGCGAAGGCTGCGAGGGCAGCACAAGATGTGGTGCCAGCAGCGTGTGTCCAGGCCTGCCTGCTTCAGGAGGGCTCTGCAACAGCTCCGCACCTTGAACTCCCTCCAGGGCAGCCTTGGTCGCAGCAATCGTGAGATGGTCGAATTCGAGAGCCTCAGGAGAGTGCCAAGAGCGCGCAGCAAGCTCACTACCCTGGGCTTCAAGAGAGCAGACTTTGGCCCCTTCAGGACCCTGCTTAGGAAGGTTCCATGGGATATAGCCCTAGAGGGCAGGGGGCCCAAGAATGTTGGCTGATATTCAAGGATCACCTACTGCAAGCTCAGGAGTGTTGCATCCCAACTAGAAGGAAGTGCAGCAGGAGGGCCAGGAGACCTCCTTGGGTCGATAAAGAGCTGCTGAGGAAAATTAGAAGGAAAAAAGAGGCTTATAAAAGGTGGAAGCGAGGACAGGCGGCCTGGGAAGAATACAGGGATGTTGTCTGGGAAGCTAGGGACCAGATGAGGAAAGCTAAGGCCCAGTTGGAATTAAACTTGGCTAGGGATGTTGATGATAACAGGGAGGGATTCTAGAGGTACGTAGCGAATAAAAGACACACTAGGGACAATGCAGGCCCCCTCCGGAAGCTATCGGAAGAACTGGCTACCCTGGATTTGGAGAAGGCTGAGGTTCTTGATGACTTCTTTGCCTCGGTCTTCACTGGCAAATTCTCTGAGCACACCCCCTAAGTCCTGGAAGGCAGACGCAGGGGCTGTGAGAACGAAGACCCTAGGCCCGCTGTAGGAGAGGATCAGGTGCGAGACCATCTCAAGAACCTGAACGTGCACAAGTCCATGGGACCTGATGCAATCCATCCACGCGTCCTGAAGGAGCTGGCAAATGAAGTTGCTCAACCTCTGGCCGTCGTATTTGAAAACTCATGGAGGTCAGGTGAAGTTGCCAATGATTGGAAAAAGGGAAATATGACCCCCGTTTTCAAGAAGGGGAAAATGGATGAGCCAGGGAACTACAGACCAGTCAGTCTCACCTCTGTGCCTGGCAAAATCTTGAAGCAGATTCTCCTGGAAGGCATGCTAAAGCACATGAAAAACAACAAGGTGGCTGGTGACAGCCAGCATGGCTTCACTAAGGGGAAATTCTGCCTGACCAATTTGCTGGCCTTCTATGATGGGGCTACGGAACTGATGGACAGGGGTAGAGCAGTTGATGTCATCTACCTGGACTTGTGCAAAGCGATCAACACTGTCCCACACGACATCCTTGTCTCTAAATTGGAGAGACATCAATTTGATGGATGGACCACTCGGTGGATAAAGAACTGGCTGGATGGCCACACGCAAAGAGTTGTGGTCAATGGCTCAATGTCCGGCTGGAGACCAGTAACGAGTGGTGTCCCTCAGGGATCGGTGCTGGGACCGGTCTTCTTCAACATCTTCATCGCTGACATGGACAGTGGGATTGAGTGCGCCCTCAGCAAGTTTGTGGATGACACCAAGCTGTGTGGTTGGGTTGATGCCCTGGAGGGAAGGAATGCCATCGAGAGGGACCTCGACATGCTTGTGAGGCGGGTCTCCGTTGCTCGCAGCTATGTCTTTCTTGTCAGATGTCTCTCGTTCGGCATGTGGCCATCTGCAGACCTGGCTCCTCCGTAACTGAGTTAAAAATTTCCACTCTAGGGCATAGTGGGTTGAAAAGGCTCACAGTTCCTTCAAACCTCCCGCTAGCGCATAATCTCTATTTTCTACTGCATGCTTCAAAATGGAGCCCCAATCGATCTGGCACCGAGGCGCCATCCTCTTCCTTTCGGCTTCCTCAACATTCATCATGCGTATCCCTTCTAATATACTTTCTCTGTCCTTTTCAAAGTCCCTACTTTCGGAACTGGGGTGGTGGGGCAGCAGGGAGTTGCACCTCCTTCGCTGCACCTTCTGATGAAGAAGGAGGGGGAGAAAAGGAAGAGGGGGGGGGGAAAACCTTGTGCTCCAAGCACAGGGAGCAGCCCGCGAGTTGGGGGAAACGAGCTGTAATCTTCCCCCAGCTTCAACCGACCAGGGATGTCTGTTCCTAGTTTCTCCGTTGCTACAGCGGCAGTTTTCTTTTCCACCTTGTATCTTTTAATACAATTTATTACTTCTCTCCATGGTTTACCGAGTTTCTTTGCCGTTTTATCATCATTAAGCATTGAGTCAAATAGTTCATCACCAAAATTTCCTCACTCACTCTCCTCAAAAACTGTATTAGGATCTACAAAAATCCCTTAGCCTTCCCTACAGCCACTAGACCTGCTAGCTGCTTTAGAGTCTCAGGCTCAATTCCCCGCTTTTATAAAACGCACTGTAATAAATCAGGGGCTACCTCTCGGTCCATTTTCGTGGCCGGCCTTTTCCGGATCGTCCTCTTCTGGATCGTCCAAGACTGGATCGTCCTCCCGATGCAGCAGTATCTGGTTCGCCCCAGCGGCGGACTCCTTTCCGTCAGTCCAAGCACCCGGGTCAGTCACGCCACCGCAGTAGCACTGCCCGCGCTCCACGGCCGCTGCCGCCGGTGCCGCTCACTCACCATTCCGGGTCCCTGTTACTCAGGGCCCTGTATTCCGGGTCCCCGTTAACCGGGACCCTGTAGTCCTGATCCCTGTTCGGGCGCCATTTGCTAGCGGCGAGGAGAAGCAAGACACGCCAACCCAATATGGGTGACAAGCAAACTTCTACTTTATTTGTGGCGCACATCGCTCATATCCGCGTGGTGTTAGCCACGCCTACTAGTCACAACAGTATTGGTTAGTTCTACACGGCTTCCTTTACATTCTCCTCCCACATCCGGCTTCCGGTTACCTGTGAGGCCTACACTTGCTTTGCTCGCACAAGGCCTCTAAGGATCCATGGCCTTGCTCTTGGAGCCATTCTGCAACAGTCCTTAACATAAAAAGGAAATGGAACTGTTGGAACAAGCCCAGAGGAGACCACGAGGCTCCCATATGAAGACAGGCTGAGAAAGTTGGGGCTGTTCATCCTGGAGAAGAGAAGGCTGCATGAAGACCTCAGAGCAGCCTTCCAGTATCTGAAGGGGCCTACGAGGATGCTGGAGAGGGACTCTTCATTAAGGACTGTATTTATATGACAAGGGGTAATGGGTTAAAACTTAAACAGGGGAAGTTTGGATTGGATCTAAGGAAGTTCTTTACTGTGAGGGTGGTGAGGCCCTGGAATGGGTTGCCCAGGGAAGTTGTGAATGCTCCATCCCTGGCGGTGTTCAAGGCCAGGTTGGACGAAGCCTTCGGTGGCAGGGTTTAGTGGGAGGTTTCCCTGCCCATGGCAGAGGGGTTGGAACTGGATGATAGTAACGTCCTTTCCAACCCTAACTCTTCTAGGATTCTAGCATTCTATGATTCTGCACAGGGTGCTCAGTGGTGTATTTCCACAAGCGGAACACACCCCATGCCAGCTTTTTCATTATATTTATATGCACAAGTTATTAGATAGTGCAGCATTTGATCAGTATTTCACAGTCATTAGGTCTTACCTCCTATGTTTAAAGACGCAACATGGCCTTGTTTTACTACACATGGTTTGTGAGTAAGGGTCTCTTATTTCAATGGGGTGTCATTTTTAGCATTATCATGAAGGCAGTCCACTCCAGCATACCTTTAAACTTAGTTTCATTGCCAACTTCTTGCTGATGAGACACAGTTCTGAGGATGTTGTCTTCCTCCTCTGGGGCCTTTTGGCCTTTGCTAGAGCACCTCCCATACAAAGGCTGAGGACATTGGGGCTGTTCAGCCTGGAGAAGAGAAGCTGTGTGGAGACCTCAGAGCAGCCTCCAATATGTGAAGGGGGTCTACAAGAATGCTGGAGAGCAACTCTTCATCAGGGTCTGCAGCAACAAGACCAGGGGCAATGGGTTAAAAGTTAAACAGGGGATATTTAGGTTACATCTAAGGCACAAGTTCTCCCCTGTGAGGGTGCTGAGGCGCTGGCACAGGGTGCCCAGAGAAGCTGTGGCTGCCCCATCCCTGGCAGTGTTCAAGGCCAGGCTGGGCGCGGTTTGGAGCAAGCTGCTCTAGTGGAAGGTGTCTCTGCCCGTGGCAGGGGTTGGAGCTGGGTGAGCTTTAAAGTCCCTTCAAGCCAACCCATTCTGGGGTTCTGCCAGCACACGGCAGCTCTAACCCTGGCAGATAATTACACAGTTTCTTCTGGGGTAATTCTCGATCTTTCTGGTGCAAAAGCCGCACCAGAAGCGGCGCCCCCCGCGCCGGCAGCACCGCATCTGCCCCGGTGGGCAGGTACCAGGCAGCGGCCGGGGGCTGGGCGCGGGGCGGGCTCGGGGCCGGACGCCGCAGCGGGGCGGAGTCTTGCAGGCAGCGGGCCCGGCTCCGAGCGGGCCATGGCGGCGGAGCCCGGGTTGGAGGCGCGGGGTCAGGAGGTTCTGTGGCTCCGGCTGCGGAGCTCGGAGGAGGCGCAGCGCCGGCAAGAGGTGCTGGTGCGGCAGCTGCAGGCCAAGGTGAGCGGCGGGGCTGGGGAGAGCTGCCCGGGACGGGCCGTGCGGTGCAGTGCGGGCGGCGAACGCGGGCCCTCCCCGGCGCTGCCGCGGGCGGGATGGCGCCGAGCCCGGAGCTCGGGGGGGAGGCCTGGGTACCGGCCCGGCCCGCGCTGCTGCTGCCGCCTCCCGCAGCCGCTCGCTCGGTCTTGGCCGGGCTCGAATAAAGATGCCGGGCTCACAAACGCCTTCCTGTGGCCGCGCTGCCCCCGCGGGAGCAGTTGAGCCAGCGAGGGGCGGCTTTGAACGGCCCCGGGCTCGCGTGGGGCGCGGGAGTGCTGGCGGCGAGGAGGTGGCCGGAGCCGGGCGGAGGTCGGGCCGTGCCTGTTTGGGGTCCATGGTGGCCATAGGGCAGGCAGGGCTAAGTCAGTTTCATCGTTCGGCTTGCCGCTGCTATCTTAGGGTGAGCAGCAAGCGCCGTGTGGGAAAGAAACCCTGTCTCAATGCCTTTACTACGAGGTAAAGTGAAGCTTCCCTATATCATGGCTTGTTGGCTGTATCCACAGCGCTGTGAAATGTACTGTGCTTGGGCTGTGAAGACTTAAGAGAAAAGCTACTGCAGGAGGAGCCGAGTTACAACCTGCATTTGCTCACCTTCATTCCATGTATCCATCCAGGTACTCAAGTACCGGACTCGGTGTCAAGAATTGGAGCAGCAGCTGGAAGCAGGAGGGGTGAGTGTGTAGGTTGCCAACTAAAGGCAGTATATGTAGCATTTGTTAATGCAGACAGAAAGCTCCCCAAAGCAATGACAGGGGAAAACAAGACTGGTTTGAAGAAGCGCTCTAAGTTTGCCCATTGGTGTTTTGTCCAGTTGCCATTCTTAGAGCAGGCAGTAGTCTTGGAAATGCAGTTCAGAAAACCCTGTCAAGAAGGATTTTAGGTTCAGGCTACACTGCCTGTTACCTTCATTCTCTGTCTGTCTCTGAAAAAGAATTGGTGGAAGCATAGCATTTTGGAAGGTGAGAGTGCTGGCATTCAGCATACAGAGCTGGCTCTGTGCTTGCTCAGCTAGAGTAAACCTGGAAAATGAAGGGTAGGAGAGTATTCCTAGGCTCCAAGTCTTAAGTGAGCACTCAAGGTCATGAGCTGAGGTTACCTAGCTGTGAGAGTGCAATCATGGGAGCCTGAGGAGAGCTACTCACTGAGTAACTCCCTTCCTCTCCATAGTCCTGGCACTGGTATGCCTGGAAGAAGCCACAAGCTTGCTGGGATACCAAACAAATGGAGAGGAAAGCGATGGGTGCTAACAGTAGTGAAGGGAACACAAGAATGTAACTAAGCATTTAATATTTCCTTTCTTCTGAAGGAGTCCCTTCCAGGCAGGTGTGAAGAAGATGACCAGAGCCTGGAGAAAGCACTGCTTGAGTTGGAAGAGGAGCATCAAAGGTAAAAGAAAGAAGTGTTCCCTCATACTTGGTATCCTGAATGCTCCTGGAAGTGAGGGAATACCTAGCTATTGGTACTGCCTGGTCTCCCCAAGGGAAGCATCTGGGGGAGCCGCTTCAAAGGAAGACAGGTCCTCAATGTCTTTCTATGGCGCTTTTGTAGCGTTGTGTTCTGAATGGCTCTGTTTTGAGCAGGGAGGTTATTTCAGGTGACCTCTAAAGGTCCTTTTCCAGCCTAAATGACTCTGTGGTTCAGTAACTGACAATGCTAGAGAAAGGTGGTGCATGCAGCGACCAGACAGCACAAAGGGGAGGCAAGACATGAGGTGCCGGCATCATCAAAGTGGAAGAGGAAGGGGGAAGCAAAATTGTAGATGGAAATCTTCAACTATGAAGACTCAAAGCAAATGAGTTTGCTATCACAGAGAGCTCTTAGCTAACCCTAGGAAGCACGTTTACTTCCTCTGTTTGAAAACAAAGTCAGTGCTGAGGGAGTAGGAAATATATGGCGATGCTGCTTGTGGGTAGCAGTTGTTCAGTGACTTCACTGTTGTTTCTCCCTTTCCCAGGCGTGAGAATCTGGCAGAAGTGAATGCTTTCCTGCGGGAGCACCTCGATAAAGCGAATGAGGTTAATTCAGCCCTCAAAGAAGATGTTGGAAAACTGATGGCAGATTGGATGAGGGCGCGGGAGGAGCTGGAATTGAAGGAGAGTGAATGGCGCCATGAACGTGAGGTGAGGTCGGGCTACGGGAATGTCAGACATGATGCCAGGGTGGAATGGGAATGCATTTTGTTGCTGGCATAGAGAGCTTGCTGTATGAAAGCTGTGGCTACACTGAAGATGTATTAGTGTTGACAAGCAGAAGATGGGTGTGAGATGGAGGAGTGTGAGGGCATTGTGTTAATGGACCATGCTGCTTGCTCTTGAAGGAAAACACTTGCTGTTGCTGGGCACTGGAGGACAGTCACACGGAATGCTCTTCGTAGTAGTTCCTAAATCTCTGCCTACAGCAGTGGAGACTGGAGAGGTCTGTGTGTTTTCTGAGTCAGAGTAGCCAACAGAAGAACAGGATAGGCCTCCCTTACCCATAGCCTGTTGTAAGTAAATCTGACACTCCTCTTGGAGGGACTTATTTTTGTCTTCCGCCACCAAGACTCTAGACACCTCTGCAACGTGAGGTGAAGAACCAAGATCAGTTTGCTTTGCTGATAGCCATTCTTGCAGAAGTGTGGATATTCCCTTCTTTGAAGTCAGGTCTCAGGTCTACTGAGGCTGCTTATGTGGTGCCTTTTTAGTCCTTGATGCCCCAGTTGCAATAGTTACTAAAGGATGCCTGGTGAAAACAGTTACCTGTACCCTCTTGTATCTGAAAGGCTTGTACAGCAGCAGTGAAGGCTAAACTGGCATTTCTTTTTATCTCTGCATGTTTAGCTTTATGACAACTACGTAAGGGGTGAACATAACCGTCTCCTCAGCCTGTGGCGTGAAGTGGTGACCTTCCGCCGGCACTTCCTGGCGATGAAGACTGCCACTGACCGGTGAGTGGAAGCTGAGGCTGGAGCTCTTGCAGGAAAAAGGCAGCTTCCCTTTACACCTCCATGTTATATTAGTTGCAGCTAAAGATAGGGTTTCTCCTTTGGCAGTCTGAAGGACTATGCTTTAGGCTATGTTCAGAATCATTTTGTTTGATGCTGGCTTTCAGATAAAACTGAGGGGCTCAGGCTATAAGCAGTGCAGAGGCAGTTCTTCAATGTATTTTGCTTAGTTTGATACCTCTTTCTGTGATTGTTTTCTTGTTCTTTGGCTCTGCGAGGTTCCTTTCTCACCGTTGCCTTCTGCCCAAACAAAACCAGTGTAGCTGTAATAGTACATTGTTGTGGTGTCAGCATGCAATTTCAGACTCTGGGTTACTGTCAGCCATTTATCTCATTTGATTGCAAGCCTTCCTTAGTGTGTAGAGTATGCCTGACCTACTAGTTAATTCTTGTATTATTTGTACTTCTTTTGTTAATAACATTTTAGGCTTGTTCTTACACCACCTTCCGAAATGTTTGTTGTGTAGATGTTGTCGTGAGCCTCTTAGCCATCCCAAGTGTTGATGCTAATAGGTTGTTTAATCATCTAGGTGTAAAACAATTAGTAAGAGTAATTTGAGGTGCTTGAAGCCTTCTTACCTCTGAGGAGAAAATGGACTCATTCCTCAGCTGTCTTGTAGTCATTGATCAACTGTCAAGAGGTGTCCTGGTCCCAAAGTGGCAGATGAATGATTTGTCCCCAGCAAAGATGTCCTCTTTCCTGCCAGCTTTTACTGTTGCACAGTTACACGCTTCCAGAAGTGAGTCAGCTCATAAAGATGGTGGCGTGAACATTAGCTTGCTCTCTGTTCTTCCTCAGAGATCTTACAGAGCTGAAGGCAGAGCAGATGAGGCTTTCTGGAGCTATCCTTGTAAACTGCTCCCATCTAAACCCTGGCATACAGCTCTGGGAGTCCGTCACTCTGGGTAGACCAGTCCTGAAGGATGAGGCACAGCAGCAAGCAGGACAGAAAATAAACCAGAAGACTCAGGAAGTGGTGTGCTTACAAGTTAAGGGGGACCTGGAGAAGAAGGAGCTTCAAGACAGGTGAAGGTGTTTTCACCTTTTTTATTGACAGCATTATCTTTTGTGGCTGCTTCTTGGATTCATGGATGGGCTATGTTCACATTTAAAACACAGCCATTCTGCACAGCCTTATTTCTGTCCCTTGTCAAACTATTGCCTTCAAAGGACAGAAATAAACACCTGGCTGACAGAAGCAGCTCTTCTGAGTAGGACAAGACTGGGAAAGAGATTGTATATGACAGTATTTCTGCTGTTAACTGATTCTTGGTGAGAAATTGAGACTAGTGTAAAGAGAGCGCTGTCTCTTGTACAGCCCTTTTGCTATCCAGGGCTCTGCTGAAGGAGTTGGGAGGAATTTGCCCAGGGTCATCATAAGCTGTGTAGCACCTCTGTGCTCAGTCTTGCAAGGAGCTGTCAGTACAGAAGGCCTTTGGGGCCAGAAGTGCCATTTTGCGACCGTTTTGCATGTTTACCTATAGAGATGTGGTGTTTTCTGGCTGGACCTTTCTCTGCTATGCTTCTGGGAGCTGCTTAGCTCTTTAACAGGGGATGGTGGGCAATGCTTTTGGAATGGCACATGGACCTTCTCTTCTCAGGGTGGTGGAGCTCTCAGCCTTGCTTGTACTTTCTCAGAAGGAAAACGAGGAGAAGGAGAAGACCATGAAAACACTGAACAACACTGTGGAGTTACTAGTATGTTTTACTTCTGTTTGGGAGATAGCCCAGTGTTTGCTCTTCAGCCTTAGCAAGGAGGAGTGGCTTCCTCAAGAGAAAGTGGCAAAGATGCTGACTGTGTGGGAACATGAGGCACATTGCCCAAATATTCCTTGTGTCATGGCACAAGTGGAGTCAGGTGCAGGCAGTGGCAGGGGAGCTGCACACAAGGCAAGTGTCTTCCTCAGGGAGGTACCACCGGTGCTATTCTGTCTGTGATTTAAACCTCCGGGGATCGAAGTTCCTTGGAACTGACAGTTGGATAGCAGCCTATAAAAACTAGCTGTTGGGCTTTCTCTTCTTGGTTTTAGCAAAGAAGAAACTGAATAGATGTGGGAAGGACTATATTGGAATCACTCGGGCTGAGGCTTGTCAGTATGACAATGCTACTGAGGATGGGAATGCTACAGAGGGGAGCAGCTCTTCCCTGCTCACCCTTTCCTTATTTGTGTTCTCAGGAAGCAAGTCGGTTAGAGAAAGAATATGAAGCTTCATTGGCTAAAAGTGCTGAAGAAGAGAATCTTTCGCTCCAGAAGCTGATCAAAGCTATAACTGAGGTAAGTCCAGAGTTGAGACCACATTCCTGTAAATTTGATTTGAAAGTACTTGAGGAAGGCAACAGACAAGCCTAGGGACTAGATCTGTGTTGTAAACTGTGTAAACTGCTACTGATTGTTTCATTTTTATACCAGTTTTCTGACATAAAACCTGTTTTGAACTCCCAAGTTGTCCTGTGACACTTCAGGCTGTGTTGGCTGGAAGTTTCAGTACCTTTGCCTTCACCGTCCTGCTAAAGTCTCTCTTGGACTGTGCTTTCTGAGTTCTCTACTTGGCATTTGTATTCCTCCATTTTTTCTTGGATGCTTCCCCCACCTTCCTTGAGCAATGACTCTGTTGTTCCTCAGACTTTTATAAACGGTCACTGACTCAATTGGTGCACTGGCCAGCTCTGCTCCCTCACTCTACATTCATTGACCATTATTATGTCCCCAGATTTGCAACTCATCTAACTGTTTAGGGGTAACCTTAACTTAGTCCTAAACTTCACTCTGTGAAGGGGGGTTTAATATCAGATCTCTTAGGTAGCCTCTCACAAAGTCAGTTTGTTCCCCTTACACAGTTGTATTTGTCCTTTTGTGCTACTGCTCTGAGTAATTCTAAACGTTAGCTTTTTCACTGCTATTTTCCAGTGTTCATCAGCTTCCTTCTTCCCTGGGCAGCATCAGTGTTTCCTTTCCTTGCTATTTCCAGTGTCCATCTGGTGCTTGTGGCTCTAAGAAACTGAAGGAGACCAAAATTGTTCTTGAAAGCGTCAAGAAACTGGGTGCTCAGGCAGCCTCCAGCCACTTCACATTTGTCTCTTCTTGTTTATAGTAGCTGTATTCAGAAATCCCTGGTGTGTTTGTAGCCATAGGGGCAAAACTTCTTTGTGGACTGAGGGAATGAGAGAACTGAGTTTTTAATGGCTCTATGATGAAGTGGGGGGAAAAAAGAGAACTAGATAAAGAAAAGCAAGTAGAATGAAAAAGAATAACAGCTTGATGTGGGCTTTCAGGTGGTGTTAGATGACTGTGACAGCATGGTCAGCATTGCCTCCACTGACAGTTCCCAGCACATCGAGTCTAGCAACATCCTCTCTTCTCTGAGCTTCACTGATGCAGAGCATGCCTTTGTGTTGGTGCAGGAAGCGCTGGCAAGGAGGCGAGGGGCAACACAGGTGAGACTTTCTGCTTGTCTTCACTGCTGGCTGCAGGCTCAACTGCTAATGCCTCAGTTAGCTTGAAACCTTTTCCTTTGCTTAGCCAGTTTAGCTGGTTTCTTTCTAGCCTTCCTGCTCTTGGTCCTGTGCTGTCTTGCCAGTCCCACCACCTCTGTGCTCTGCTGCTTTTCTTTCCTTGATCTCCAGCCCTTATCATAGATTTTTGCCTTCAGGTGAGCTCTCTCTCTGCTTGCTGCTTTTCTCATCTGTCTGGAGCCATCTTCCCTGTTCCTTATTGCTTGTTTGTGCTCTTTGCCTCCCCATCCTTCACAGGCCCTAAAAGAAGAGCTTTCTGCCAGACAGGACGCTATCAATAACCTGCTGCACCAGCACAGAGAGCAGGAAGGGAAGTGCAGGAGGCTGCAGCAAAGGATTGAACAAGTGGAGGAGGAATGCAAGACGTCCAGCAGCCACCAGCAGCACCTCCAGTCTCTGGTAGAAGCACTCAGAACGTGAGTGTTTCCTCCTCCTCTTGTGTTCTACAGGCAATCTGCTTCCAGTTTTGGGAGTTCGTAGGTGTTTTGGGCAAAGAACTTGCCTGCCCTACTGTGTGTATGCCTGCCTCTTGACGTGCTACTTCTCTAAGTTCTTGTTCTTTGGGTGCCCTTTCCTAGCCACTGCATGAAAGCAAAAGCCTTCCTTTCTCTTTCCCTCTTCAGTTACCTTGTGAGGGGAAGAGCAAGTTCCTCCTTACCGTGCTCCTTCCAGTTCCATCCTGGAATGATGAAAACGGGATCTGTGACTTTCAGGCCACTTTATTCTAACTGAGCCTTGTCTCTGCAGTGACTGTGCAAACCTCGAGAAAACCAGGGAAGAGTTACAGCAACAGCTTGAGGTAACAGAGCAAGAAGCCTCACGTCTGCGTCAGAGTAACACTGAACTGCAGCTGAAGGAAGATTCAGCCCAGGGGGAAAAGGTGGAGCGGCAGCAGGCACTGGAGAGAGCACATCATGACAAGGAGCTCCTGTGAGTGTTAAAGCTTTCTCTGGGCAGGGGTGGGCACTGCTGGGCTTTAGGAGGCCCACATAAAGATAATAAATTTTGCGTGCTCATCATTTGTAGCATAGAAATGGGAAGGGAGCACATGGGCAGGTCTGGCTGCCTCCTTGTGCGTCCTTTATGACCCTTTAAAAACATCATTCCAAACCTGACCTGGATAGCTGGTGACAGGCACAAGCTGGGACAAGAGAGGTTCAAGCTGGATTTAAGGAGAACAAAAACTGGAACCATGAAGGCAGTTGTGCAGCAGAACAGGTTGCTTAGAGAGGTTGTGTAGATTTCATCCCTGGAAATTTGGAAGACCAAACTGAATAAAGCCTGAGCAGCCTGGACTGATCCCCTAGCTGACCCCAGCTGTTTTGAGCTCAAGCTTGGGCTAGAGGGCTCCTGGGGTCCCTGCCAGCCTGAATCATCCTGTGACCCTATGATTATTGGATTGGGAATTCACACACACCTCTTCACCACATAGATTGCAGGCTCTTTCATTGTTTCGCTGCGGAAGGCAAGAGTAATTGTGGGACTAGGGAAGGGGTAACGGGTTCAAACTTAAACAGGGGAAGTTTAGATTGGATATAAGGAATAAAATCTGTATTGTGAGGGTGGTGAGGCACTGGAATGGGCTGCTCAGGGAAGCTGTGAATGCTCCATCCCTGGCGGTGTTCAAGGCCAGGCTGGACAGAGCCTTGGGTGACATGGTTTAGTGGGAGGTGTCCCTGCCCATGGCAGGGGGGTTGGAACTGGATGATCTGAAGGCCCTTTCCAACCCTAACTATTCTAGGATTCTGTGACTATGAATCTGACTTAAAAAGTCTGTCTTGCCCAAAGAACTTTGGGAAGTTGTGGGCAAAGAACTTTGGGAAGTTGTAGCCAATACCTCAAAAAGGAAAGCAAGAACAAACAGGTAGGAAGCTGTTCAGTTGAACTGAACTTTTTGGAAATGTTCTGTGATTTCTGGAAGCTTGTTTTACTTTCTCAATGGCAAATGGTTCACCTCCATCAGTGACAAAGAGCAATGCAGCTCTAGTCAGGAAATTCCAGCATTCCTTAGGTGTACACAGAAAGCTGTTAGGAGTCATTCATACTGCCATGTCCTGGGCATGGTACGTATCTGGGTTTTGGAAATGAGAATGTATTTTACATTATAAACTTGTTTGTCTTTCCCCTTCTCATAGACTGAAGGACTTAGCTGCAGTTGAAGGAAAAAATTCATTATTACAGAGTGAGTTGTTAGTTGCAAGAGAGACACTGGAGGAATTGCACCTTCAGAGGGATCTGCTGAAGCAGGAGAAACATGAGCTTACCGTAGCACTGGAGAAGGTATGATCACCTTATTCCTAGGTAGCACTTGTGGGAGAGGGAGTTGTGATAGCAAAACCATCACAGATGCTGTTTCTGGCAGTAGAAGACAGGGAAAATGTTGTCCTCCCCCCTTGGAAAATGGTGATCACACCATACGGGCTCTCTGGGGTAGTGCTTATTGGGAGTGCTGAACTGGGAGTACATCAGAGATCTAAAAGGGGATCTGGAGCTGCTGCTGGAAGTCAGGGATTTTCCTGCCTTTGTTGTCATGTTCTTTTTTCCCTTCAGGCAGAGCAGTCAGTGGCAGAGTTGTCAGGGGCTCAGAATAAGCTGAGTGCTGAAACAGCTGATCTACGTGTTGCAGCAGTGAAGATGAGCAGTATCAATGAAGCTCTTGCATTGGATAAAGTGCAGTTGAACCAACTTGTGCTGCAGGTGAGCAGAGTTGCCAGAGATCTTGCCAGGAGTTTGTAGTTGCTGCTGCTTCTTGTCTTTCAACAGTGAGACTGACAGAATATGGAAATGTTCCTGCATGTGTTCAAGCCAAACCTCCTACAGAGTAAATGTTCCTGTACTTTATTTCCTCTGTGCCTCTGTGATTGTAGCTGGAGCAAGAGAATGAAGCTCTGTCAGTGAAAGTGGATGAGATGGAGAGAGCAAAGATCTCTGGCCAGGATAAGCTGAGCTTGTGTGAAAAAACAACTGAAGAGCTCAGCACAGAGAAAGCCCATCTGGAGCAATTGCTGAGGAAAGCAGAAGAGCAACAGGAGGGGCTGCGGATAGAGCTGAGGACCCTGGCAAAGGAGAAGACAGAAACCCAAGAGAAACTCAGTCAGGTGAGACCAAAAACCTGTTGCTTTCTGGGTGGGCTTTTGACTGCTTGGCTCAGTGTAGCTGTATCTGTTGGATTCTGTGATGTTTTTGTCAAGGAGACCCTTGGTAGTGCTGGAGATCACAAGGCTTTTGGTTTCTTCTTGTTGGAAACATATTGGTGGCTTGCAGAGCTGTTCTGCAATTCTCTGTGTTGTCCTCTGCTTCTGTGGATTCTTTCAATCCACCTGCCTGTGTTGACCTCTTTTTTGGCTTTTGGTAAGCTGCAAGATGATTGTGTTGTCCATGAATCCGAGTGCGGCTCCTACTCTTATATGTGTCAAAAGGAACAAAGTGTGTAGCTCTGGGTCCCTTTTCTGAAACAAAACCCAAGGCTGCATGTTTCTGTTTATGCTTTTTATTATGAAATCTGCTGCTTCCAAAACTCCATTTCTTTGAGCCTAGAGAGCAGGACAAAGCTGCGAGTCAATGCCTGCTGGTTTGTGCTGCTAAGAATGGGAATGACATCTTGAAACTGCTGAAATTGTATTTTAAGACATACACGCAGCTTTGTGGCTGGAAAGCTGCCTGGGCAAAAGGACCTGGGAGGAATGTTAGTCAACAGCCAGGTGAACATGAGCCAGCTTGTGCCCAGGTAGCCAAGAAGGCCAAGAGCATCCTAGCCTGTTATCAGAAATAGCGTGGCCAGCAGGATGAGGGAGGTGATCATTCATCCCTCTGTACTGGGTACTGGTGAACCTGCACATCGAATCCCATGTATGTTCTTGGCCCCTCACTACAAGAGAGACACTAAGATGCTGGAGTGTGTCCAAAGAAGAGCAACAAAGCTGGTAAAGGGTCTGGAGCACAAGTGTGATGAGGAGCAGTTGAGGGAACTGGGGTTGTTTAGCTTGGAGAAAAGGAGGCTCAGGGAAGACCTCGTTCCCTACAGTTACCTGAAAGGTGACTGTAGTGAGCTGGGGTCAGTCTCTTCTCCCAAGTGACAAATGCTAGGACAAGAGGAAACAGCCTCAAGTTATTCTGGGCGAGGTTTAGACTGGATGTTCTGAGCAGTTGCTTTTGCTCAACCTCTCCTGAAACTTCCCAGCATGGGAATAGATTCCGATGGGATTTTAGTTTGCAGGGTGGCAGTTCAGGAAGATGCAATGGTTTTGCACGGAATACAGTATGTATGTTTGCCCTGAAGGAGCTGTCTCGTCCCAGGCAACCCAGTATGGCCTTACTTATCACTTACAAGTTAACAGTGCCTTTTGGCCCTTTCCTTTTTGCAGGCCAAGGTATTAGTGCAGCGTGCAGGTGATGCTCGGAAGCTTTCAGGCCACAGTACAGGAGTTCTTTGTCCTCTGGCTCATTCGGAACTGGCACTGGGTGGCTCTGCATACAACTCTCACCGTATCTTGTCCTGTTTCAGGTTTACCACCAGCAAGAGTTGTCCAGAGGTGACCTGGAGCAGCTGCGCCAGGAGTCCTCTCGCCAAGAGCACGCGCTGGCCAAAGCATCCAAAGAGAAGGAATTGCTGGTACATGAGAAGTCTGCCCTAGAGGTGCGACTGGCAGCAGTGGAGAGGGACAGACAAGGCCTTTCAGAGCAGCTGGAAGAGTCCAGGTAAAGGCAGGGAGGAGACCCTAGGCAGGATGTTATCAAAGGTCTGTAATTATAGAGGTGGGAATCATTACTCAAGGATTCATTGCATCCTGTGTGCTTCTCGGGTGTTTTCACCTTCCATGGACAGAAAATGGAAGAATCTTGAGCAAAATGGAAAAAAAAAGCTTTGATACAAATTGTGGTATACTTCTTTTTAAAAGAGTGCCAAGCTGTTTGGGCTATTGCCTGCATGGTTAGCAATGCTTAGAGAAAAGTAACAAGTTTTCCCTTGAACTTCCAGCAGTTTAAACTGAAGGATAGCTGTCTCTTCCAGGTAGTATTTGTTCAGACAAAATCTACTTCAGATTTGTTACAAATGCTGCTGCAAGCATGAGATTTTACTGTATCATCTGATGTATTTCTTTAGTCCCTTTTAAACAGAGGGAAGCTGGAAAATTACCTACCTAGAGCTAGATTATGAACTCCACTAAAACGTCATGAATCAGCCAGGGAAATTCTTGTTCTGTCCCCCTGCACAGCTACTTGTAAAGGCTGTGAGGAGAGGCTGGGCTTTTGCTTGCTGGCACAGACTTAGGGGGCAGAGCTACCCATGTGTCATAGATCAGACAAGAACAATTTAAGATTTGACTATTGAGATCCAGTTCAAATGGTCTTACTGTATATTGTAGGTCACAAGGAAGGCCCGGACGTTCCCTCAGAGGGGCCTGCATTGCTATTTTAAATGGTATAAATATGCTCCCTGAATACAACTTTCCATGCAACCCATTTTCCATACTCGGGGGTAGGGATCTTGAATGGTTTCTTACTGGAGTAACTCCTTGTGGGTGTCAGGAGCAAGAAACTCATTTCTCTTTGTATTCATAACTTGCAGATCAGTGAAGGACACCCTGGAATCCAGCTTGTTTGAGGCTCAGCAGCGCTTATCTCAGGTGGAAATTTCCAGGAGTCAGCTGGAAATGCAGCTACACGCAGTCACGCAGGCCAAGGAGGTGATACAAGGTGAGAGCTTCATGTGCTTGGCTCCTGGTGACCCTTCTGCCCAAAGTGGTATAATAACAGCTCCCTGCAGTGCTTCTGAGGAGTGAAGGAGCTGGGGGGAGATCCCTCCTACACTGAAATTCGCATTCAGTAAAGTCAGAACCATTTCTTTGTAGACTCTGAATGTTGCTCTTTGTGTTTGCAGGGGAAGTGAAGTGCCTTCAATGGGAGCTGGAAACAGAGAGATCTTTGATGAGGCAGGAACGGGAAGACATGACACAACAGCTCCTGCAGACAGAGCAACAGTATGACAGTACTCTCAAACTGTGTCAAAGTGATCATGAAGTGGAAATAAACAAGCTCCTGCAAGACCTGGTAAGGACCAATATGGTTCTGAATTCTTCCAGCAAGCTTTGTGGGCTGGCTTTAGATTAATAATAGCCTGAGGGTGTGAAATGGCATCTGTCATAAGCCACATGTTGCTAGGCCAGGTAGCAGAGCCAATGGCTTGTACTTGAAGACATGTCGAGGCCCACAGGCCTATGGTGGGACAGTAAATGCAGGCTCAGATTCAGTGTGGGCCTAAGATGAGTTCAGCAGGGGGTTGCAGCAAGGGGGTAGGATCTTACCAGACTCCTGTCTACCATGAAGGTGACTCCTGACCTTGCTGGCAACTGCTGTCACAGAAGCTTTGTTCCATTATTTCTGTCCTTTCATGTGGTCAACAGAGGTGCTAAATTTGGGCTTGAAGCATCTGTAACAGACCTTATTCCTGGTGCTTAAGTTCATGGCCTGTCTTGTGACTAGATTATCAGGCTGCTGGTCCCTTTACTGAGGAGGAAGCTGAACCTGATGGCCAGTCCCAGTAACTTGCTCTCCATTTGTGCTTACAGAACATCACAGAAAAGCTGCAAGCAGAGTTGCAGGAAGCTCAGAGTAAGATCAAGGCAGTGGAGAAGCAGCACAAAGAAGAAATTAAAACCATCAAAGAGGAAGCTAATGTCCTTCTTCAGCAGAGAGATGCTCTACAGAAACAGGTGACTGAAACAGCAATAGCTACTACAGTCATGAAATAGGTGGTCTCTGGTTTGTCTCCATCTTGCCTTTCTGTTGCAAACAGCAGGCTGATGGGGTAGTCCCTTGGGCTGCCATCATCCTGTGGTCTCCATCTCCACTGGTCTGAAGGAGACTTACTGGCAGCTGAATCTCAGCTGCTGCTCTGGACAGATGAGCTAGTCCTTTGGCCTGTTTGCTAGAATGAATCCATCATCAGAACGGATTTCTGCTGGCCTGTTGCTGCTAGCCTTGTTTTTTAAGGTACTTTTTCAGTTGAACATGATGACCCACTCAGATTTTTAAGCAAGTTGCCTCTCTCCAGTGTGGATCCAGTATTTTCATGCTAGGGTGAAATTTCCAGTTGTTCTTTCCTTTTGCTCACACTATGTGATACGGCTGCCTGGGACAAGCTGTAGTCTTTGACTGCTTTGTTACGTTTTACTTGAGGTGGAGGAGTTGACATCTCAGCTGGCAGCCTGTGAAGAGTCCCAGCAAGAGACTGGCCGCAAAGCTCAACAAGATCTGAGTGAGGCACAGGAACTGTCAAGACAGAAGGTGCTGGAGGTTGCGCACCTCCAGAAGGACCTGGAGGAGAAGAGGAGTCAATGGGAGGAGGTAGAACATCAGAACAAGGAGTTGCAGATGTGTCTGCAGTCCTTGGAGGGGGAGAGGAGTCGATGGGAAGAAGTAGAGCGTCACAACACAGAACTTGAGGCCTCACTGAAGGTCCTAGAGAGCGAAAAAGCCAGGTAAGTGAAAGCCTGTGAGACTCTCCAGTCTGTTTAATGGATTCCCTCTTCCAGATCTTTGCATATAAAAGGGGCTGTGGCAGCATTTCTGGCAAAGCAGAGCTGTGAACTCCCCATGCAGATGTCTCATTCTCTTGATGTCTTTCATTTTCATTTCTTTTAATCCTTCAGTGACAGTTTTTCTGAAGACAGTGGCTTTTGGAGTAGTCCTTTCCTTAAAAGGTGTTCTGTTAAATCAGTGTGTTAATAATGTAAATGAAACTTTCAGGTGTTTCAAACCTGAAACACACCAAAGGAGGCAGGAAAGCTGCAGTACAATGAGCTAGATAGATCCATCAGTTCCACCTTGGGTCAGGTAAACTTTAAATATTGGGGATCTGTATCAGTCTTCCACCCTGACACCTTTGGTTGGCAGAAGCCATCTTAAAACCATGATTTTGAACTGAGCTGGATTCCCCTGTGAGGCACACAAGAAACAGGAGTGCTGAACAAGCAGCCTGGTTGTGTAGACAAACCTCAGACAAAGCAATTTTCCCCGTGGTGGTGAAGTCCTAAGAGTTCATTAAACGTTTTACCATACAGTAATGGGTTGCATGCTCTCTCTTTCAGGCTGACCCTGTCTCTGGAAGAGAAGGAGCTGAGCCTCAAAACCCTGGAAGAAAAGAACTTTGCCCAGCATAACGAAGTGTCTCAGCTTCTCTCTGCCGTTCACCAGGCCCAGCAGCTCCATACAGACCACAGAAGAGAAATAAAAGAGCTGAACAGCCAGGTGGCGTGGGCACTAGTATCCTCTTCTCCAGGGACAGCTTGTAGGCCCCAGTTTGTTTTCCCTCTCAACAACATACGCTCCTGTATTCTGCCCAGAGACATTGAGGCATTAACCTTCTGAGGAGAAATGGAAGACTCCTTTGGAGCTTCCCAGGATCTCTATTACAAATGTTGTCCCCAGATGGTGTTTCTACCTTTATTGGGCACTAAGCAACCCGGTTATTGCAGTCTGTGGAAGGTGCAGCCAGATCATCTGGCCTTTTGGAGATGCACCATAAAGGATGCTGATTGTCTTCCCTTCTACTCCCAAGCATCCCTGGAAGCCCCACCCTCCATGCAGGGATGCTTGATTTGCCACCTCACCCTCTAACCAACCCCGCTTCCCCACAAACCCGTCTCCACACACAGGAGAGCTTCATTTCTGAGGCTGGAAAGCATGAAAGCCAGACAGTTTGGCCATTCATTTTGGGATGGGGAAACTTCTTTTGGGGCCCCTAGCCTCCACATACCTGTTTCTAGCTGATTTTCTTCTGTTTGAGTCCTTGGCTTTGAGCTTTCTGTTTCTAATGTGGTTTTTGCTTGAAGTAATTTTTCCTTCATTTCTTCTCCTTCCTTATCTGCTGCCTCAGCAGCAGCACTGTCTCTGAGGCTCTGTGCATCTGTGTTACAGATACAGTCACTGCAGGAGGTAGTGCTGGAGAAGGAGGCTGACCTGGCAGCTCGGGAGAAGCAACTGCTGCAGGATCTGGAGGAGTCCCGAGCAGGCGAGCGGTGCTTGAAGGACTCTCTGCACGTGCTGGAGGCTGAGATGTCTGAACTGCAGCTGAGGCTTTGTAGCACAGAGAACAGAGCAAAGGCTCTGGCCATGGAGTGTCAGCAGGCTAACAGTGCCCACTGTGAAGCCCAGTCCCAGCTGGACAAACTGCACTTGGTTCTGCACCACATGATCTGTGACAGCAGAGACTTAGTCACTTGGAGTCCAGGCAAGCGTGGGAGACTGGGTTAACAAGTCTGTAGGGCACATAGAGGAGAGCAGATGGAGGGAGGTGTGGTTCTTTGCAATCCTGATAGGATAGAATCATCCTTTCAGTTTAGGCTGACTCAAGCCTTGGGAAGTTTTAAAGGCACTGACACCTTCTCCAGTGAATAAAGAGGCCTTGTGTGTTGGAGACCGTTCAATTCAATCTTGAAACAGAATGGCTTCTCTCTTCAGAACAGGACCATATCTGGGATCTGACTGTTTCTCAGGCCAGGGACCTCCCTGCAGAGCTCACAGTGGACAGAGTGGCAGCAGTCCTGCAAGACCTGCGCCAGCACCTGAAGCAGACTCAGCTTGATCTGGTAATGTGTGTCCATTGCATCCAGAAGCCCTGTACCTCTGCTAGACTGAACTGACAAGCAGATTGCCAAAGCCAGAACGGCTGTAAATTCTTATAGGTCAGGTTGGCTTGCTGCCGTAGGGAGAAAGGAGACTCATGATCACATTTACTGTCCAGTTGTCCCCTCCTGCCCTGGCTATTTCTGCCTTGGTGTTTGCACATCTTTGTCTCCTGCCAGCAGTGGCTCTGTGAGGTGATACTTCCCTTCTTGCCCCTTCCAGAGTGATTCAAGGAAGAAGATCCAGGACTTTGAGCTGGAGCTGAGCGAGAGGCAAGCTGAGAGGGACCATTTCAGTGCCCACAATCAAGAGCTGCAGAAACAGTTGGCTCAAAGCCAGGAAGGTACAGATCCTCCTTTCCAACCCGCTGATTGTCTGACCAGCAGGGATCTCTCATGCCAGGCAGGGGAAACACACAGTGCCTGGAGATGGGAAGAGAAGGAGAACAACAAGCATGAGACTCACCAATAGAACCATGTTAAGGCCTTTCACGGAGAAAGGTCCAATGTGCTGCTGGTGATAATGTGCAGACGTGGTGCCTTTCAGGTTGCATGTCACTGCTAAGAAGGTGCAGCTTGATGCCTCACAGCATCCTTCTCTGTATGCTCTTTAAAAGCACCAACCAGCTAAAAGCCTTGTCTGTATTGACTTCATTTTCCTCTTAGATGGCAGATTCACAGAGCATTAGTTCAATGTTGAGCTCCTGTGTATATGTACGAGCTTGTCCATCCTTCTTAGCTGTTTTCTTGCTGATACTGATCTCATATCTGAGCTCACTGCCATAGCAAACATAGGTTTTTACGTCCCTGGCTACTTCTTTCTTATGCCTTTGGTACCATATTAACATTGCATTTATCTATAAACTGTTTTCATGTGTAGCTATGACCTCTTCCTCTAATCTCCGGGCTCGCTCAGAGCCTCCAGGGTATTGGGCTCTCTATGTCACATATGGACAGGCATCACTGCTCCTTGCTCTGTCCTTGTTTTCCCACTCTCCCCGTGAGATTTGCTTTTTCATCTCGCGTCTTGTTTTCCTTGTCTCAGACTACAGGAACAGGGAAATGTGGGCATTGCTCAGTGCCTCCCCCACAGCTTGTCACTTACTCATGTAGTACCTTTACCTGATCAGTATTTCTTCCTGTTCCCTCTCTAAGATGGAATTTCGCATCATTTTTCAGAGTCTTTACAGGACAGTTTCCAAAGCCTCAGATCATCACTTTTTCTGGAACATCTATAGTTCTTACTACATATGGTAACAGCTTGTAGACTTTAAATTCTATCACTGGATGGATCCTGCTTGTCCCACTTGGTTCTTTCCATCTTTAGTTCCTGTCAGTTTAGTTTGTACACTTCAAGTACAACATTTATGTCTGTCCTTCTCTATAACATCAGCCTTCCCAGCCAATTAACTGTGTCCCAGTCAGCCTTCATTTTTGCTGCTTCTTCCTTTTCATTTAGGACACTAGATCTGACTCTGATCTACTGTCTCTCTCCTTGTTTCATCAACGTCAGTTCTACCTGCATCTGACGCTGTGGGTGATGTGCTGCCATGCTCTTAGCCCTGGCCTTTCACCAAGCAGAAGAGCAAACACGTTTTCACATTCTTTTGAACCTTGCCACATTAATTCTTCTTTTCTCTGACTGAACTTTCCTTGATTTATGTCTGCTTTGAAAGTCCTTGTGGGCCTGGAGACTGCAGGCAGACAGATACTACATTTTCTCTGTCCTTTGGTCTTGCTTTCCCTTTCACCTTCACCTTTACTGCTTGCAGAGACACAGATGGCAGAACACAAGAAGAACTCTCTACAAGCTGTCCTGCAGGAAGAGGCCGCTGCTTTAAAGGAGGAGGTTATGACTCTACGTCAAGAGGTGGCATCTTTGGAAAGGAAACTTGAGAGCGCTGAGGAGCAAAGAAAGGATGTCCTGGTGAGGCTGGCAGATGCTGTGAAAGGCCGTTTCTTACATTTCTTTGGCCTTCTGTTAAGAATTCTAAAAGAGCAAGTTTTTCAGTTTAATTTTCCCAGTTGCATCCTTCTGAATAAGTAGGAAAAGGTGCTGCAGTACATAAAACCCCAGTTATGATTCAGGGTGCTTCTTTTCCTCAATTCTGAAGACTTTTGCCTTGAAGCCTTAGTGAAAATAATTTTCAAACTTACCTCTATTTACAGGTCATGCTGTGTCCAAATGCAGATGTAGATTTCTAAATACTGATCTGGAAAAGGGTGAGAAGACAAAGTCTGTTCATAGAGAAAACTGTTCAGTGTTACCCATCTGAGAGCAGACAGTGGGGAGAAAGGAGACAAATTTGAGAAACCAGAATGCTGATCCAGCTAAATATATATGTTTGCAAGGGGAAAACTAGACCTGGTTTCAAACACAGAATGACAGACACTGATCTATTACTCCTTCAAGAGAGGACAGTGGGGTTCTAGAGGATGAACCCATGACAATTCTGCACAATAGAGGTTCAAACAAATAATAAAAAGGGAAATGAAGTGTTCTCTTTTTTATTCCTAATAGAGTGGCATCATTGAGCCACTGCCTAAATCGTGCTTAATCTGGACCTTAAATCCTGGCTGCAGTTCTGGCAGCTCCTCCCCAAGAGAACACACTGGAGCTAGGTTCAGGGAAGGGCAAAAAGGAAGGTGGAACTGGCTGAGTCAGCTGGGAAAGATGCAATGTATAGGGTGGCACAGCATCTCAAGAGGCAGGGAGAGAGCAGGCAGCCCTTGACTGCCACTAGAGCAGGAGTCAAATCCAATATGAAAAGACACAGCAATGGAATTATTGAGCCTTTTTCTCCCTGTTTTGCAGCACGAACGGGACAGACTACATGCAGTTAAAGAGAAACTAGCAGGAGAGATAAAACTTCTTCAGGAATCAGTGTCAGCCTCTGAAGCTCGAGCAAACACAGCAACAGACACGAATCACTGCCTCGAGCAAGAGCTTCAAACCACGTTGTCCCTCTTAAAAATTAAAAATGAGGAAGTAGAAACCCAGCGGGAGAAAATCCAGATGCTCCAGAAAGAGGCATCGGAGATAAAAGCTTTGCAGGAGACCCTCGCTCATATGACTGCCATCCTGTCAGAGAGGGAGGGAGAAATGAAGTTATACCAGGAACAGATGAGAATGCTGGAAAACCAGGAAGAAGTGCATAAAGCTACTCTTGATCAGTTTATTAAGGACATAACAGAGAAAAAACAGAAGGTGGCATCCCAGCAAGAACATATACAGGAGCTGGAGAAGCAGCAAGAAAAACAACGGATTGCTGTCAGCAAGGTGAGCAAAGAACTGGAGGAGAGAGACCGGGAGATCAGATCCCAGCAAGAGCAGATATGGGAGCTGGAGAAGCAGCGAGAACTGGAGAGGATTGCTGTCAGCAAGGTGGGCAAAGAGCTATGGGAGAGAGAGCAGGAGATCAGGTCCCAACAAGAGCAGATACAGGAGCTGGAGAAGCAGCGAGAAATGCAGAGGACTGAGGTGAGAAAGATGGGCAAAGAGCTGCAGGAGAGAGAGCAGGAGATCAGGTCCCAGCAAGAGCAGATCCAGGAGCTGGAGAAGCAGCAAGAACTGGAGAGGACTGCTGTCAACAAGATGAGCATAATGCTGCAGGAGAGAGAGCAGGAGATCAGGTCTCAGCAAGAGCAGATACAGGAGCTGGAGAAGCAGCGAGAAATGCAGAGGACTGAGATGAGAAAGGAGCTGGAGGAGAGGGACCTGGAGATCAGGTCCCAACAAGAGCAGATACAGGAGCTGGAGAAGCAGCAAGAAATGCAGAGGGCTGCTGTCAGCAAGGTGGGCAAAGAGCTACGGGAGAGAGAACAGGAGATCAGGTCTCAGCAAGAGCAGATACAGGAGCTGGAGAAGCAGCGAGAAATGCAGAGGACTGCTGTCAGCAAGATGAGCATAGAGCTGCAGGAGAGAGAGCAGGAGATCAGGTCTCAGCAAGAGCAGATACAGGAGCTGGAGAAGCATCAAGAAATGCAGAGGGCTGTTGTCAGCAAGGTGAGCAAAGAGCTGGAGGAGAGGGATCAGGAGATCAAATTCCAGGAAGGGAAAATAAAGATGCTAGAACAACACGGTGCATCACAAGTGAGAAATCTGCTTCTGGATCTTGATCATATGAAAGGAAACTTGAAGGAGAAAAACTCAGAGCTTGTGTCTCTGACTCAGCAAATCCAAGAACTGGAAATGCACAGAGAACAGGTGAAATCTCTGCAGGCAAGCCTTGAACACCTGAGGGCAGGTCTCAGGGACAGAGAGAGTGAGTGTGATTCTCAAAGGGATCAGTTAAGACTGTTGCAGCAGTACAAGGAGCAGCAAGAGGGGCAAATTCAAGAGCTTCATGGTAAAGTGGAAAAGATGGCACTTTCTTTATCTAAGAAGGATCAAGAGCTTGAGTCACAACAAAAACAAATCCAGGAAGCTGAAGAAACCATGGAAATGCAGTTGAGGACTCTCCGTGACCAACTGGACCAGACCTTAGAAACCTTAAAAGAAAAGGACCGACTCATAGACGTCCAAAAGCAACAAACGAGGAGCTATGAGGAAAAAACAGAAGAAAAGATGAATGTCTTACACAGAGACTTAGAATACACAAAGGCAATACTGAAAGATAAGGATTTCATGATTGAATCTCAGAAGGAAGTGATTGAGACCTTCCAAAAACAGGAACAAGACTCTGAACAGCAGAGAAAAATTCTGCACCATCTTGAAGTGGCACTGAAGGAAAAGGAACAAGAAATTTTATCCCTTAGAAAGCAATGTGAGGCATGCAGGGAAAAGGAGGAAAAACTTGAAGCTGAGCACACAAATCTTCAAGCTACAGAACTGACTCTGAAAGAAAGAGAAAAAAGGATAGGGGTTCTGGAGGAGGCTGTCTCTGAGCTTCAGCGGCAAAAGGAGGAGGCAGCAATGCAGGCTAAAGCCGTACTGCAAAACCTAGAACATGCTGAATCTTCTCTAGAAGCTAAAGATCAAGAGATAATGTCTTTGCAGGAGCGTGTGCAGGACCTTCAGGAGCAGAAGGAGTTAGAAGGCAAGCAAGCCAAGAGTCTAGAGCAGGATCTAGAAGAAATGAGCAGGATGTTGAAGGAGAAGCATTTGGAGTTCCTCAAGCAGACAGAGCAAATGAGCATGTTACAGCTTCAGGGTGAAAGCATGAAAATAGCACTAACATCATGCCAGAAGCAAGTGAATCTGCTTGAGGAAGTGGTGAGGAAGAGGGATGGAGACAATGAAGCTCTGAAACAAAAACTCCAGCACCAAGAAGAGGAATTAAAGACCTTGCAGAATCTCCAGCTTAGGCTAACTGTGAGCAACGAGGCGGTTAGACATCACCAAGAGCCAGAGAAGGTCCTGGAAGACATCTTGTGTGAGAGGGAGCGAGAAACCAAGGATCACAGTGAGCAAAAAGAGTTAGAAAAGGAAGTAAGAGCTCTTCAGGAAGATCTCCAGCATGTTCAGCAGACTCTGACAAAGAAGGAGGAAGAGATAAAGTCCCAGCAAGACAGAGTCAGGAATTTAGAGAAGACTCTGACGGGAAAAGAACAAGAGCTTCAGAGGCAAAGCGAACTCCTAAAACAATTCACATCAGTTTTGCAATGGAGAGATGAAGGGGACACCCTAAAGAAACAAATCCAAAAGCTCCAAAAGTGGGAGGAAGTGGAAACAGAGAAGAAGAGAGTGCTCCAAGAGAGAGACCATTCCTTGCAAAGGCAGAAGGAGCTAACCCAGCAACTGGAAGATGAAAGGAAGGCAAAGGGGAAAGAATTGGAGCGTGTGATTGCTATTTTGAAGCAGACTGAAAGTGGAGAAATTGAATGGAAGGAGAAAGCACAAGCCCTGACTCTTGCCCTTAGGAAGTGTGAATTGGCCAATGGGACTTTGAGGAAAGAAATAGCCATCCTTCAGACTGCGGTTTCGGAGAGGGACACGGACCGGTTTCATCACCAGGTAGGCACTATGATTGTTCATCAGTCAACTAAAACATCTAGAAAGGATTCTAATGATGTTTCCCATAAATAGACGAGAATATACATCCCCATGAGCATACTATCTGCTTAGCCAAAAAGGGAGCTTGCTGTTAAAATTAACTCAAATGTGAAAGCTGGGGATGGGTATTTGGTTCTCTCTTATTAGGCAAGCTTAGGCAACACGCTGTGTTTAGGATTTGGCATGGAAAGGGAAGGGCTCATTTGACCAGACTGATGTGCTAATGGCTGCTGAGCAGTTATGTTGCTGGTGCTTAGAGGACCATCTCTCGGCTGGAGACCAGTGGTGTCCCTCAGGGATGGGTGCTGGGACCGGTCTTGTTCAACATCTTTGTCGCTGACATGGACAGTGGGATTGAGTGCGCCCTCAGCAAGTTTGCCAATGACACCAAGCTGTGCGGTTCGGTTGATACCCTGGAGGGAAGGAATGCCATCCAGAGGGACCTTGACACGCTTGTGAGGCGGACTGATGCCAACCTCATGAGGTTTAACCATGCCAAGTGCAAGGTCCTACACCTGGGTTGGAGCAATCCCAGGCACAGCTACAGGTTGGGCAGAGAAGAGATTGAGAGCAGCCCTGCGCAGAAGGACTTGGGGGTGCTGATGGATGAGAAAATGAACATGAGCATGCAGCAGCTCCCCCTGCACCTGGCTGCCACTCTCCTGCTGGCTGCTCCCCCTCCCTGCCCGCTTGCAGGGTCCCACATGACAGCACTGGCAGGTGACCATGGCTCCAGCTGCAGCCGCCAACACCTGGTATCCCAAAGCAGCTCCAGCCCCAGACCCTCTTCCCAGCGTGCGGGATGGGGACCGAGGGACTCAGTGGGAGGAAGGGACGGAAGGGGGAAAAGGCTTGGTTTGGGCAGCAGCAGCATCCAAGAAGATGCCGGGCGCAGGCTGCTCCCCGCAGTGACGTGAGCCTGGGCACGCTGTGATTCCGGGATTCCATGACTGATGCCTTGTGCGTGGCCGTGTTTCCCCCAGCTTGAGGAGCAGCCCGAGAAGCTTTGGTCAGCGCTGGCCCAGGCTGTGTCCGATGGCAGCACCAGACCAGGTGCCCTGCAGCCACCAAGTAGTCGGTGTGAGCACCCTCACCTCTGGTGCCTGCCCCGTGCCCATCCCTGCCCACAGCTGCAGAGAGCCTGAAAGAGCCGCTCTGCCAGGGCAGGGAGCCCACGTGAGGACACTTGGGGTGCCCCAGCACCCAGCGCCAGCCCCCATGGCCCCTCCAGCCCTGGGAGCTCAGAGCAACTGGAAACCACTTGTCTGCCAAAGCCACGTGTGATCGCAGTGAATACAAAGAGAGACTGGGTCAGGAGAACGTCAAGAAATGTATTTACAAAACAACAAAAAATAAACGACAAAGAACAACCGTTCTTCTCACAAATACAACTCTTCTACCTAAAAGAAGAACGCTTATTCCTAAAACTACACCTATTCTACCTAAACCTACAAGTCCTATGTGAAAAACGAACAATCTTCTTAAAACAGCAACAATCTTCAATGAAAACTGGAACTCTTCTACGGAAAACATCCAACAGCGTGAAAACTTCCCAGTCGACCAGCCCTGGAAACAGGCAGCCCAAGGTCATTTCAGTGAGGCTACTGATGGTCATTGTGTTTGCCACACGCTGGGGAGAGCGGGACTCTGCCACGGGGCAGGGAACAGGGCAGTAGGAATGGGAAGAAACGTATCTGAAGGGGGGCTCTAGGGCTGCTGCAGAGGGACTCTTCACTAGGGACTATAGTGCTAGGACAAGGGGTAATGGATTCAAAGTTAAACAGGGGAAGTTTAGATTGCATATAAGGAGGAAGTTCTTTACTGTGAGGGTGGTGAGGCCCTGGAATGGGTTGCCCAGGGATGCTGTGAATGCTCCATCCCTGGGGGTGCTCAAGGCCGGGTTGGACAGAGCCTTGGTTGGCAGGGTTTAGTGGGAGGTTTCCCTGCCCATGGCAGGGGGGTTGGAACTGGAGGATGGTAAGGTCCTTTCCAACCCTATCTATTCTTTGATTCTATGATTCTAGGATGCTTTCAGAGTTGTCAATGTCTGAGGTACAGGTTTTCCCATATATTGAAACCAATGGAATTCATACCATTGCCAGGTCAGGTTAAAGGCTTCATTGCGCATTCAGGGTGTACTTGGGGCACAGTCCAAAATGCAGGAAGGCAAATCAGTGTGGATTTCTCTAGGATGATCTGACCTAGGTACTGCCAGTGGAACTGCTGCAACAGCCTGTGCTGCACACTTGCCTGGGACTGCCAATACTTTTAGCATTATGTTACTATATGATCATATAAAACATGCTACTAATAAAAGGCTTTATACATTAGTTGGTAAATATTACTATGAGTTTAATCAGGATGATTACAGGTACTGGGATCTATTGATAGAGAAGTGAATTTCTTCTCTGTTGAAGCAGAGAAGTGACAAGGGCAAGAAATGTGAAAACCATGGGATATTTCAGTGGCATCCATATAGATCATTACAGTGCTGATATCAAGACTATTTATAGCACTGTATATGTATCAGCAGAGCAAACAACTCCATTTCACTGAGGTGATCTGGAGGAAGGCTCCTAGGAAGAGTGTATGTTGTTTTGGCCTGTGGACCAGGAGGAGAAGGGACTTAGCACTGTCCATTTCTGAGTCCTGTCACTCTCCCCAGCTTGCTGATTGTAACAACTTTCTGACCTTCATGTGGCACCAGCTCACATAATCTCCTCTGAATCTCCTCACCAGGCTGTTGCAGAAGGAGAGCAGCAATCATGGCTCTCAGAGAAGAGGCTCCTGTCACAGCGGCTGGAACGTCTGCAGCAGCAAGTTGCAAGGCTGGAAGTTGAGAAGACTGAGCTGAAGCAACTCAACGCAGAGCTCAGGAAGACTCTTGAGCAGGTAAAACAGGCTTTCTCTGCCTATGCTAAGCCTCATGGTCCACTGGAGAGCGTCCTCTCGTGCTTTCTCTTCTATAGTCTGTTTCAAGTAGCTTTTTGCCCCTAATGTTCCCTCATGCAATTAACAGTCTCTGAGTGGAAATCTCCTTGCCATGATGTCCAGAGGCCCTTTTGCTCCTTCTTTGGTGGCAGGTTTTTCTGACCCTTTCTTCTATCCAACGTGCAGGTGGAGTGTGAACGGAGGAGGCTGAGGAGGTTTTACCGTGATGGGTCGCTGCCATCTGACAAGCACAAGATGCCAGCTTCAAAACAGGTGAGAACAGGGTCTCACTTGGTGGGAAGAGGCTATGGCCATATAGGGGAATGATCGCAAATCCCAGTGGCAGACCTGGTAGGAGTTAAATATAGACAATGGCCCTGGTCAAGCGGGAGACTAAAAAGAAATCCTTGTGTTCCCTTCACAGGAGGAGTCTCATGCACACTGCAGTCGTCAGTTAACTGAGTTGCAGAACCAGGTGAGGAGTAGGAAAGCTTTCAGCAGCAGCTGCTATGGCTGCTGTACTGATGGGCACAACTTTGCATGATGCTACAGCCCGAGTTTTGCTTGGCTGGCAGGAAGTGATTACACTGGGCAGTGGAAATACCCAGTCAGACATCTGCTGGCCATGGCCAGACAGCATCATTCACCTAGGTCTAGTCTCTAACTTGCCTAAAGGTCAGGCAGGGTGGGAAAGGGATGAGAGGAGATTCATAAGACTGGAACTTGACAGAAAATAGAGAATGTTCCAAGGATGTAAAGGAGGGCCACAAAGATGCTCCAAGGGCTGGAGCATCTCTCCTGTGTAGACAGGCTGAGAGAGTTTGGACTGTTCAGCCTGGAGAAGAGAGGGCTCTGGAGAGACTCTGTAGCAGTCTTCTAATACCTAAAGGGAGCCTACAAGAAATCTGGAGAGGGATTTTTTACAAGGGCATATAAGGATAGGACAAGGGGCGGTGGCTTTAAGCTGCCAGAGGGAAGATTTAGATCAGACATTAGGAAGTTCTTCCCTGTGAGCATGGTGAGACACTGACCCAGGCTGCCCAGAGAAGCTGTGGCTGCCCCATCCCTGGCAGTATTCAAGGCCAGGTTGGACACAGGGGCTTGGAGCAACCTGCTCTAGTGGAAGGTGTCCCTGCCCATGGCAGGGGGTTGGAACTGGAAGGTTTTTAAGGTCTCTTCCAGCCATAGTCATTCTATGACTTTCCCATTGAGTCTTACTCATGTTGCTGACTCTTCCTGTTTTCTCTTTGCTCAATTAACAGTGCAACTTGCATCTTATCAGAGCTTTAGGGAAATGAGGCAGTGCCAGAGCTTATAGCCTTCAGGCAGTCATTAGTCTTTTATTGCTATTCTGTGCTAATCACTATCCCAGTATTGGATGGAGTCAGAGACCTAAGCATTGGAGGGACATTTGTTTTATCTGTGTAAGAATGTGCATTCCAGGTACTGAACCCTATTGCATCCTTTGACAGTGGTACTGGCAGTAGCAGCAGCCGCCAGACTTCTCTTCCATGTACTTTTCCGGGGCTGTTACACCCTGGTCTCCCCGAGGAGGTGAACCTTCGCAGGTGGTCAGAGCAAAATGTATGTAAGACTTGTGTGAGTAGAGTGTGTGATGCTTTGCACCAGGAAGCCTCAGTGTCTGAAGTTCTGTTGCTACAGAAAATGATCTGAAGCTCCTTCCCCTTGTGGCTGCTGTGCCTGCCTGCACTATGGACCTGCTTCAGCAGTTCAGCAGGAAAAGTGAGGTGCTCTGCTCCAAAAATAGTCCTCAGCTGGTTACTCAGGGCACTCCTCTGGCTCTGGGAAGCAGCAGAACGGGAACTTTATCTCCCGCTTCCTGGGAGATGCTCTTTGCAGCAGGTGGCCACTTCTCCCATTCATACTCTGGGTTGCCTTCCCATGGGAGGGTTTTTCAAGCCCAGTTTCCCAAAGGTGCCCTTACTGTTTCAGAAGGAGGCTCAGATCTGTCCCTCCCTTCAGTGGAGGCGTTCCCTAACCAATGCATATTGGTTTTTGTAAGAAATCCCTTTGTCTTACTTTCTGTGTGCATCTCCTCCATTCCCAAGCAGTCAGAGGGCAACATGCCAGAGCTGCTGGCACTGCAGTGCCAACCTAACAGCCCATAAGAACTGTGGGTCTCTCCCACTAAAATGACAGCAGGCACAGCCCTGTGTTGCCAGGAATTAATTGAGTTTGAGGAGTTTCAAGGCCTCGGCAGTCCTTTGAGGATCATTTTCCTCCTGGGCTTTGTTCATCACATTATGCTCTGCTCATTTGTGAAATGCTTTAATTAGGGAAAATGGGTTTGCTCCCTTTCTGTGTGTTAGCTGTCAGGCTTTTAAGCTTGCTCATAACACAGCCTTGTTTTAGACTTGTTCATAACAGCACAGATCTTCAGTACCTTGTGTAACCAGTAGCACTCCCACTGAGGAAGCAGCTTGTGGCGCTGAAGTGTCAGTAGCCCAGATCTCTCTGTTGAAAAAAGAGAGCTCGATTACTAAATCCTGTAGGAACCTTCCTCTTTAATACACATATAATGTGTCGGTGTCATACATGTGGATGGAATGCCAGCCAGAAACTCAGAATTGTTGATAATCTCAGTTCAGTGCACGGCGACTCTGGGAACCTGTTACTTCCCATTCCACAAGGACAGAGTGTCAGGGCTGGAATTAGAGGATGCATCTTCCTGACAGCCGGTATTAAACAGCTATGGATGGTCCAGACACTGTGGGCTTGTCTGAGCTCAGCCTTTTGCCTCTTTCAGGTTTCCCTTCTACAGACACAGCTGGCACAAGAACGAAAATACAAGCAGGACTATATTGAGTGTTGTGCAAAGACCAGCCAGGAGCTGTCGGACCTTCACCAAGAGCTGTCTTACTCCTTAGCAGCGGTGCTCAGGGAGCCCAAAGCTGCTGTTCTGGAGGCAGAGACTCGAAAGCTGGGTCAGTCTCTGAACCTTAGCTTGTCACTAATACCTCTGGACCATCAGTCTCCTGAGAGACAGCTGTTGCACTCAACAGCCAGATCTGGCACAAGTGATGACCTGAGTTAACGTGAGGAGCATACAGCAAAAGGCCTCCGTAGCAGCCAAGTTGGGGACCTGCTGTAGCAGGTGAACTGCGGCAGGGGGCTTTGTTCAAGGCATGAGTCCCAAAGTAAGTTCAGTGTTCACAGCAGATTGCCCAGCAGAAGCAGTGGTGGGACAAAACTGGTGCTGGCTTATGTGGATGGGGTCAGTTGTAGGCCTGGAAAAGCAGGATGAACCCGATGAGCAGGTAAAATTTCCTCCTTTTTCCAGAGCACTCCATGATAGCCTGCCTCGTCAGTCTCCACACAGCCTTCCCCATCAGGATGTTCCTATGTCTGCAGTCTCTGTACTGTATGCAAAGACTTTGTGTCTGGTTTTATTTTTTCAATACACTTATTTCTCCAAAACACTGCACAGGCTCTTAGCAGAGATCTCCTTGCAGTGATGTCCTGCTGCTCCTCTGCTTTCTTCAGGAGAGCAAAGGAAGAGAGCGAAGCTGCCTGTGTTGCAACCACTGCAAAACACTGCTGTTTCACAAGTGAGGTGTGAGACTGCCAAGGAGAGCACTCAAAAGGCTGTTTCCAGAGTTGAGCAGCGGATGCAGAACTGATCGAATATGCCAGGACCATTGTCCTTGAAGTTCTGGAAACCATGAAGAAAGGTATTAGAGGAAGAAAGGAAATCCAAGCAACAAAGAGAATCTGCAGCCAGGGAAGGTCCTGCCACTGCTCAGCCTCCCTGTGCCAGTCACATCAAAGGAAGCAGGGACAATTGAAACGGGGGAGCTCAGGTACTCTCCTCCCATCCCTCCTGCAAGGCGCTGAGCAAGGTGCCCAGAGGGCAGCAGAAAGCCTTCAGCAGGCCCAGGATTGTACCTCCAGAGTCACAACAAGGTCTTCAGTGCATGTGTGGGAAACTGAATATACACAGGCCAGGGAGTACCGTGGGCACCCTCGCCTCTCAGTGTTTCCAAGGCAGCCCCTGCCTCCAGCACTGGAGCTGGGGAAAACAGTGGCCAGGAGTCTCTGCTGAATGGAAAGAGCCACAAAAGGAGCTAAAGTCCATGTCAGAACTTGCACAGGAGCAGGAAAAGCACCACCTCCAAAAGGATAAAACGCTGTCCAGAAAGCATGGCAAGGCAATTTGAGTGGGCAAACAGGACAAACACTGCAGTTTGAGCAGGCAAATGGGGCAAACGCTGCAGTTTGGGTGGGCACAGAGGCCATGATGCAGCAAGACATGGCTGAGCTGCAGTAGGCAGTCAGAAGACTGAGGGCCATCAGGGAGGCTGGGAGGGGGCTGCATTGCTTTCTCCAAGGCCAAACTCGGAGGGACCACTGCGCAGAGCCCACAGACGTCCCCCCCTGGTACACACAGAAAGGAGGGAGCGCATTAATCCAGGGGGTTGGGAACCTGTAACTGAAATAAACAACAAAAGGAGGAGGAGGAGGACAAATAAAAGCAAGGGGCTTCCTCCAAAGCCTGACATGCCCACCCGGAACCGCTTCACAGCTCTGCAAGGGGGCTAACAGGGTGTTACCTGCCACAACGGAACAACAGCCAATTGCCCCACCAATAAAGAGAGCTACCAGGGCTTCCAAAAAAAGGCAGTGGGTGGTAGTAGTGGGTGACTCTACTTTGAAAGGTACAGAGGCACCCATCTGTCAGCCTGACCCGCTCAAGGGAGCTGTGATGCCTACCCTGAGCTTGGATCAGAGATGTTGCCAAGAGGCTGCCCAGTTTAGTAAGTCCCACTGACTACTACCTGCTTCTAGTGGTCCATGTGGGTGCTGGTAATCATAGAATCAACTAGGTTGGAAAAGACCTGTAAGATCATCAACTCCAACTCTATTCCCATGATTGCCAGTAGTGATAGAGCCAGCAGGAGTCTGGGGAGCATGACCCATGGAAAGGGACACTGATGGGGACACACTGTGGGCCAGAGGTGCTCCATGACAGCAGTGATGGTACCTCTGAGGTCTACAGCCTGTGGCCTGTGGAGGAGTCCTGCCAGAGCAGAAGGAATGTGTGAGAGGGACGGGGCAGCAGAAGGACAAGGGGGGGAAGGCAAAGCATGGTGGAGAGGAACCATTCTGTACCCATGCAGAATGTCAGGCGCTGCCTGCTACCTCCTGGGAGAGTCCAAGAATGACTTGGTCCCCCAGGCTGTTGTGTAGGTATCAGACACACTGGCTACCTATGGCATCCTTCACTCCCCACAGCTATCTGCTTTGTCCCCTGCCGAAAGGCAAAAGGCGTGTGTGTGCTGGAACAAAGGGGCCTGGAACTCCATCTGATCTTCCCAATAAAATCTCAGGAGTTCATTTATGACCTGGGTTTGGGCATTGCCTTAATTCCCACATGCTGATGGTAGAGCCTCTACCCGTTTTGAGTTTCTCTACAAACGCAGCTCTTCAGTGCCTGCATGGGAAACTGCATATACTCGGGCCAGGGGGCACTGCAGGCACTCCCGCAGCTTCTAAAGCAGCCCCTGTCTACAGTTGGTCCAATGCCTCCTGTCCGAGCAGGACCACTCTTTATTCTCGTGCTGTTTCATGCTATTCACATGCACATGAATGGGCGTCCCAAATGCATGGCCAGATGGGCTTCAGGCAGGCCCTGGCGCAGCCGGGCAGTGACATGGCAACGCATCAATGCAACAATGGGCAACTGCTTTACATAGCAGCATCTGTGGTGGCTGCCACTGGGTGCCTCTGGAGTGAGATGTGCCAGCGCAGGGTTACAGCCCCAGGAAAACACTTGGAATAGCCATGGAGCACCCTCCTGCTGCTGGCCATGGAGGCACAGACATGCAGCCCAGCACAGAGGGGAAGCGGGCAGAGAGGAGCAACAAGCTGATGGTGAGGACTTGGCCCAGCAGCCCGGGACATATGAGGCTGTTCTAAGGCTTTCTGATGTGCTTGGGGAGCTGGGAGGGGTCCAAGAGTGGTTGGGAAGGGTTTTCAGGGGTTCTTGCCTCTCTGCTCAGCCCAGCTTGTGACTAAGCAGGCAGGAGGTGCTGAGGAAGGGAGCTGTGAGGAAGCAGAGAGCAGCTTTTGATTGGGCTGCTCTTGGTACTCCCCTTGGTTGGAGTCTTCTGAGAGCCTTTCTGGCAACTGCCATCCGGGTGGGAGGTTTATGGAGGTAATGTCTGATGCCTCCCTCTTTTTAGCTCAGGAGCAGAAGACTGTTACAGGCAGAAGGACATGCTCAGCTGCTGGATCTGCCGCTCGGGGCCAAGATCCCTGTGTACCCTGGCACCAAGCCTGTCTTCTGCAGGGCAGTACTAGGGGGAAAGGTAAAGGAAATGGGAAGGGTTTGGAAAGCTCTCCTTTTTTATGGGGTCCCTGTCATTCAAAGAAGTCCTTGTGGCCACCTGCTCTGCAGTGGGCACTGTAGCCCTTCAGTCTGACAGTGCTTGGGGGTAGAGGGAAGCTCCTGGCTCCCTGGTGCAGAGCCGTTGGCACTTCTTTGCTGCTCTCTCCTCCCGTCTTCATGCTTTGGAAAACCTCTCTTGCAGCTTTTCCAGTCTTCAGGTTTTTTCAACCTGGAAGATCCCTACTGCCACCTGCTGAGCATGGAATACAACAGCCTGCATGACCCACATCTGCAGGCCTACCACCATCGCAAGGACCACCTGCAGATGCTGAAGAGAGAGGGTTCCATCACCTATGATGGCAGAGTAGGTTTGGACTTTGGGCTGTTAAAAAGAGCCCCTATCAAGCGGGGTTCCCAGAGCACTTGCTGCAGCCACTGCTTGCTGGTGGATGGCACAGGCCTGTGGGGCTCACGTCCCTGGGAGCACAAGTAGCTGACCTGACAATTCCTGAGGGATTTCTGCCCTCATCTTTCCATAGGTGGTTTGCACTTTGAAGCAGTTCAATGAGTACAGGCAGCACCTGGTCAGGCTCAAGGTGGATGCAGAGAACATGTTCAGGAGAGAGGAGGTAGGCAAAGCGCAGTGTTCATGGACACGGGTCAGTGGTATGGTGACAAGGGCTTATGGCATCCTGGGGAGGTAGCCAGTGCAGGAGAGGTGAGGGCTGTGCTGTTATCTGAGCTGGTGTGTGGCTGCTTCCTACCTGGGTGTTGCTGCTACCTGAGCTGGTGCAGGGCTGGGCATGGGCAGGAAGGGTCCATACAGACATGCAGGGTCCCAAGGGAAGCATTTCTCTTCTGCCCTGGTTGCGTGGCTGAAGCAGAGCACTGTCCTGAGCCCATGGGATACCTCAGCATGCAGAGGCATGAACACTTGTCCAGCAACAGTAAGTCACAACCTGTGTCACCTTTCAGCACAAGCTTTGGCAAGAAGTGGACAAATTAGAGGGTGCTGCTGACCTGCCAGATGAGCTGCATGTTTCTCAGCTGCGAGAGTGGCTGGTGCACGAGCAAAGAAAGAGGTTGCCAAGTGGTGAGAGGGCAAGGAGAGAGAGGTAAGAAAAGGCCAAGTAATGCTTGCTCTTGAAGGGGGCCCGTGGTCCCTGAGAGGAAGTGAACAAACCTCACTCGTGGAAGGCTGTGAACACATTGGTGCGGTCTGTGTTTGGAGCCTTGGGCAGGCAGCTGGGGTTTGCCAGAGCAAAGCAACCAGGAGCAGGATGATGGGAATGGCAGAGGAGGAAACGGGCAAGATAGAGCATCTCCTTCTCAGCTGCTTTCCTGTCTCTTGACAGGATTCTCGCTGTCATCGAGAAACGGATCGGTAGACTGGAGGCACTGGAAAAAGTGCAGCGCTTCCTCCATCGGGTCGGCTGCAAAACGCATGTGGGAAAGAGGAGACACACAGTCAGCACACTACAGGGTGTGGTGAGTAGGAACTGCTGGGTGCTGGGGACCACCTCTGCTGTGCAGCAGCGCTTTGGTACCCAGGTCTCAGGAGAGGGTGCTTGCGAGCACTGCTTGGTGCTGAGGAGGTTGTGCTGGTGTGCGACGTGTCCTTGTTAGAGGGTTGCAATCAGAGACAAGAACCGGTGGGCACATTACACTTTGCCCAGGGTGGTATCTGTGCCAGGATGAAGGGTTTAGCTCCTCCTGCCATGGCAGTCAGGCTGTCAAACTGCAGAATGGCAAATGATGGCAGAGGACAATTTCAGATGCTGCTGTTTGTGACTCGCAGCTTCGCAGATTTGCACGAGGCTGGCAGCCCATGGTAGACTTTCAGGCTGCCTCCTGTCCAAAGGATCCTAGAATCAACCAGGTTGGAAAAGACCTTTTAAGATCATCAAGTCCAACCGTTCCCCAGCACTGCCAAGTCCACAGTAACCGATATCACCGAGGGCCTCATCTGCACTGTTTGTGAACACTTTTAGGGACAGTGACTCCAGCACTACCCTGGGCAGCCTGTTCCAATGCCTGACTCTTGGTGGAGAAATTGTTCTTAATGTCCAATCTAAACGTCCCCTGGTGCGGCTTGAGGCTATTTCCTCTTGTCCTGTCCCTTGTTACTTGGGAGCAGAGACCGACCCCACCTCACTACAACCTCCTGTCAGGCAGTTGTAGGCAGCGATGAGGTCCCCCTGAGCCTTCTCTTCTCCAGACCGAACCCCCCAGGTCCCTCAGCTGTTCCCCATCACACTTGTGCTCCAGGCCCTGCACCAGCTCCGTTGCCCTCTCTGCACCCACTCCAGCACCTCAATGTCTCTCCTGTAGTGAGGGACCCAGAACTGAACACAGGATTCCAGGTGTGGCCTCATCAGTGCCAATGTATTTCCTTGGGCTGGCAGATAATAACCAAGTGCCACAAGAAAAAGGATTGTTCCCTCTTCTGCTCCGAAAACAGCCATTCTTGGCATTTGGCCTCAAGAAGGGGTAAACGGGCTGCTCTGGTTCAGGGCAGCACCCTCAGCCGAGAGTGGCTGAGAGCTGTGGCAGAAGAGACTGGAGCAAAGAGCCTGCTGCAGCACCTTCTACGGTTTTCCCACCTCCATTCAACTCTGCCCAACGCATCCTGCTTCTGGAGGCAGTGAGCCCACAGGAAGTACTGGCCCCTGTGGGTACCCGCTGTGCCCAGGGACCTGTCCTCCAGCCACAACCAGCAGTACCCAGGCAGCCACTAGCTTGCAGTTCAGGATCCATGGCACATAGTTCACCATGCTGAGGTCCAGTGGGGCTACAGTGCCCTTTGCTCTAAGCGAAATGGCAGTGCTTGGTTCTGAGGAGTGCTCACGACACTTGTCTCCTGGCCACGGGAGACCAGAAAGCTCTGTGTGCTGGGTGGCCTATGGAGAAACCCAGAGCTTTTCAAGCTTGATTGCTGAGACTTTGTCTGGGCAGGGGTCTTGTGAAGGAAGAGGAAAGCAAACCAAGGCAGAGGAACACATTCACTCATGATCTGCTCCTCATTTTAGCCTTCCGAGTGTGCCAAAGAGGAAGTGCCCGAGAACATATCCCAGCTGCAGGTTTTACTGCCTGAAGAAGAGAAGGAGCTTCAAGAGTTGGCTGAGGACAAGGTCAAGATAGTGATGACGCAGGATCAGTCCAACCATGCCTCAGGGAAGGCTCCCCACAGGGTCAAAGGAAGGTTGTTTGCCAGGACCAGTGAGGCGGAGCTTCTGCAGATTTATGTGGATCTCCAGGACAAAACTAGACTGGTGGCTCAGGAGATCGTGACAGCAGTGTTGGAGATCTTGTTGGAGCATTTGGCATCCAGGGGGCCAGGTGCCAGAAGAGCCTCCGTAGTGAGCAAGTCTGGAGAAGAACCAGCAGCTTCCAGCAGAGCATCTTTGCAGACTTGTATTGACGGAACGACCGTAGAGGCTGTTGAAAGTGTTAGCTCCATCTTGTCATGCTTTGCAGGATGCTGTCCGTTTTCAAAGTTCCTGAATCGTAAGGATGTGTCAAAGCCAGGATCACCCAGACCACTAAAACAACAGATCCCAGGAGCACGCAAGGCAACGTCCATGCAAAGCTCTGCTACTGTCTCCAGAGCTGAGCAGCAGGATGCAGAGATCGAGTACATCAGAGCCGTTGTCCTTGAAGTTCTGGAAACTGTGAAGGAGAAGTTACAGAAAAAAAGTAAGCACACACCAGAGCCCCCTGTGCGCACAGGAGCCCTGCACAGGCTGTAGGAGCCTCTGCAGCCCAACTCATTAAAGAGGGAAGTAGCTGGGAACCCAAAGAGATGTGTGGCTCTAGGGCCATAGAGGCCCTGGGCAGCTCCAAGAATAAACAGTGTATTCCCAAGGGCTTGCTTGTGCCTATTTATTCACACCAGGTAGGTAGCCTGCTGCTGTCTGTAGCAAAGGCAGTGGGACTTGACCCTTCTGACAGCTGAACTACTGGGCTCTTGACTTAAATGCAAATAATATGCAGTATGAAACAGGGTATTGCAAGTGACCATTAGGAAAACCAGCATAGCATAATCCCAAAGCCTGTTCTCCCTTCTTTCCTTTCCCTGCCCACCATTTCATACCAAGTTGAATGGTGCAGCTGACATGAGGGGTGGGATACTGTCCAGAGGGACTTGGACAGGCTCAAGAAGTGGGTCCATTAAAACTCATCAGGTTTGACAAGGCCAAGTGCAAGGTCCTGCATGTAAATTAGAGTAACCCCAGTATTGATACAGGCTGGGGAATGAAGGGATTGAGGGTACCCTGGAGTAGAAGGACTTAGGGGTACTGGTGGGTGAGAGATGGGACATTAGCCAGCAATGTGTGCTTGCATCCCAAGAGGCTAATTGTATCTTGGGCTGCATCCAGAGGAGCATGGCCAGCAGGTTGAGAGGTGATTCTGCCCCTCTGCTCTGGTGAGAGGGAGTCTGTGTCCAGTCCTCAGCACAGGAAAAACATGGGCCTGTTGGAGAGGGTCCATAGGAGGGCCACAGATCAGAGGGTGGAGCACCTCTCTTGTGAGGAACAGCTGAGAGAGCTGAGCTTGTCCCGCCTGGAGAAGACTTTGGGGAGACCTTATTGCAGCCTTTCGGTACTTAAAAGGGGTCCATAAGAAACATGGGGACTTTCTAGCAGGGCCTGTTGTGATAGGATGAGGAGTGGTGGTTTTAAACTAGGAGAACATTCAAGCACCTGACTCCATCAGCTCTGAAAATAACAGCCCACCGTTTGGCATGTGCTTTGCTTTGCTAAGATGAAATTTGAGGTCTGGCTGCGTGCACGGCGCGGCATCCCATAGCACTGCCTGGCACGCAGGCTGTAGCACGACATCCCATAGCACTGCCTGACACGCAGGCTGTAGCACGACATCCCATAGCACTGCCTGACACGCAGGCTGTAGCACGACAGGCATGGCATGCCATGGTGCAGCATGAGACTGCATGGCATGATGTTACGTGGCATGTACATGGCATGATAGGAGATGCGATGGCATGGCATGGGATGGCATGGCATGGGATGGGATGGCATGGCATGGGATGGCATGGCATGGGATGGCATGGCATGGGATGGGATGGTGTGGCATTGGATGCAGTGGGGTGGCATGGGGTGGGACGGGATAGGATGGGACAGGGTGGGATGGCATTGGGTGAAATCGCATGGCATGGGATGGGATGGGATGGCATGGGACAGGATGGGATAGCATTGGGTGAAATCGCATGGCGTGGGATGGGATGGCATGGCACGGGACGGGATGGTGTGGCATTGGATGCAGTGGGGTGGCATGGGATGGGACGGGATGGGATGGGACAGGGTGGGATGGCACTGGGTGAAATTGCATGTCATGGGATGGGATGGGATGGCATTGGGTGAAATCGCATGGCATGGGATGGGACAGGATGGGATGGCATGGGACAGGATGGGATGGCACTGGGTGAAATCGCATGGCATGGGATGGGATGGCGTGGGACGGGATGGTGTGGCATTGGATGCAGTGGGGTGGCATGGGATGGGACGGGATGGCATGGGACGGGATGGGATAGCACTGGGTGAAATCGCATGGCATGGGATGGGATGGGATGGCATTGGGTGAAATCGCATGTCATGGGATGGGATGGGATGGCATTGCGTGAAATCGCATGGCATGGGATGGGATGGGATGGCATTGGCCGAGCCGGGGTAGCCTGGGCAGAGCCGGGCCGGGCCGCGCTGGCATGGCTTGACACGGACACACCACCAGCCGCACCACCCATGGCGCGCTGCGAGCGGCAGGCGGCTCGGCCAATCAGCGCAGCCCACATCCTGCCAGGGGCCGCCCCCGCCCGCTGCCGAGGGCCGCCGGGAGGCTCGTACCACTCCCACCGCGCAGGGGAGCCGCCGCTGCCTCTTCTTCGGCTGCCCTGTGGCTGCCCAGTCCTCTCCCGTCCCCGTCCCCCGTCCCCGCGGGCTGCTCTCTCTCACAGTTTCGTGGCGTTCGGAGCTGGTTCCGGTGGGGCTGAAACCCCTTCGAGAAATGCGCTGTGCCTGCCGCCCCCCCCTTGGCGCGGGAGCCATGGTCCAGGCCAGGCCGAGGCGGGGCGTGGGGCGGAAGCGGTGCCGTGGCCCAGGCGGCATCATGGCGGCGCCGGGTAAGGAGCGGGCGGCGGCGGCGGGAGGGAGACGGGGAGAGCGGCGCGGCCAACCCGCTTGTCTTTCCGCAGGCCCGCGTCTGTATCTGGTGGCGGCCCTCGGCTTCCTCCTCCTCGCCGGTGCCCAGGCTCTGGCCCCCAGCCACCGCCTCACCGCCCAGGACCTGGCCCGGCTGCGGGCGGCGCTGGAGCGGCCCTTCGCCGACGTGCAGGCCGCCTTCTACTCCATCGTGGGCCTCGCCAGCCTGGGTGTGCGGGTGGCAGACGAAAAGGTGAGCAGTTGGCGGTGCTGAGGGGCTGCACAACGCGAGACACGGTGATCTGTGCGGTGAGCTCTGCTTGCGGGCCCTGAGGGAAGTCAGAGGCAGATGGATGTACGTTGTGTCCTTAGCGAGCATCACACCAACGCAGTGGCCGTCACTGGCAACCTTTAAGGTGTGCTGGTGGAGTAGGTGGCATCTTTGTCTCAGCACTAATGTGCCAGGGGCTCTCTTACACTTGGTGCCTCTAAATGGTGGTTTCAGGGCTTGCCTCTCCATAGCCTGTTGTGACATTGCTACAGTTGTTGGTTTGTTCCTGGGTTGTGCAAAAGATTTCTGCCTGCAGCATGTTTGCTTTGCTGTCCTGTTAGAGTTGGCATTATTTCATTTCAGTTCTAACAGTGAATGTAGCCAGGTCCCATGATTTCATTATTTTTGCATCTAAAATATGCTTGTGTGTGCCCAGACTAGAAGCAAAGGTTTGCAGCATCAGCATGATGCTTACTGCCTTTCCAGGCTTTGGAACATTTCTAGTTTAAACCTAGTAAAGGCTGTCCTTGTAACAACCTGCTTATATAGGCACGTCTGCTTCTGTGCACGTGTGCTTACGTATGCACCTAAGCTATGAATGGAAGGTTGTTCTTTCCACAGAAATTCAGCTAGTTCAGTAGTTCTAAACCACTTGGATTTTGTTTCTCTTTGAGTGTTGTGCATTTGCACCACAAACTCTTTAATGTGACACTCCTGAAGGTGTTGCGGTGCACCACACTGCACACCTGGCTGTGGTGGTTACTGGTGACCTGCAGGCAAGGCTCAGCCTTGCTGCTTTCGTTTATGTCAGTGTGGCTTGGTTTTTAGTACATCCTAGTTTCGGCAGGGATAGCACAGCCTTTGCTTTTGCAGGTAAAGAGGAATTATTTACTTGTTGCTTGAGGTTTGTGATGAGGCTTTCTTTGTGGATGGTGTACCTCTTCATGGGGTGATTCTATTTAAAAGGTAGAGGTAGTAAAAATAATAAAAATAATAACTAGGCAAAACACTTGAACATCTATTGGTATTCTTGGGTAACTGTAGCATGAAAATCCTGTCTTGCTTGTAAAGGCCTATGTTCCACGTACTCAAAACCTTGTCGTTTATATATGAGCAGTTAAATTCTTGGTTATTTTCTGGTTAAAATGCAGTTTTAATGATCTATCTATCTAGTGTTCAGTTAATAGTCTACGTAATAACATGGTTAATAACTAGTTAATAAAACATAAACTGCTACAGATTACTGAGCAGTCTCACTGCTTGCCTTCACACTGTAGCTGCTTACCTGGCTACGCTCTGAAACTCTGTATTCTGCCTCCATTAATGATTGTGTGTGTTGCATAGGTGGGAAAGAAACTCCCCCACAGTATTCCTGTTCATCTGCTCTCTATCCTGGGAGATTTTCCTGACTAAATACACCCACAGGACTTCAATTTTGATGGGTTTTAGAATTATACTCAAATTTAAATTGAAATTCTGGTTGCAGTACAGTTGGCGTGAAAATCATTCATCTCTTTAGCCAGGAATCACCTTTGTTTCTGTGCAGTGTAGGATTGCAAATATTCCTACGGATTTAATTTGCCTTTAGTTCAGTCTGAAAATGCACAGCAGCATGTATGAAATTGACTCAGAGTACTCTTTACATCTCCTTGATGGCTTTGAGACTGTTGCTGTCAGTTAACTTCTGTTTCTTCACAGGCTGCATGCAATTTCATCAAGTCTCATGTGGACTCCAGCAGTGTTGATTCCCTCTTCTATGCCGCACAGTCTATCCGGGTCCTGGCTGGCTGTGAGGTGGGTTTGGAGCCCTGAGCTCCAAAGGCAGATGTTCCCAGTTAAATACTTGCCTTGATATTTTTCTTCGGTTTATTTTATGCATAACTTCTACTTTTACTTTCTTTTAGTGAGTTGTATTCAGTTGTATCTTAGGTTCACAGTAATTCCGAGGGGATGTTACTTGATAAATATTCATGGCTAAGAAAAAAGGAGCCAGCACATTCTAATAGAATTCACAGCATCAATTTAAAACTTTTTAGGTAGATGAGAAACTGTTTGGATGTAAACCCTGTGTTGAACCATAGCAAGGATACAAATGCAGGCCACCCTTGCTGCATTGTGGGTGGGCTATCCAGGCCCCATTTTTCAGGAGTACTGCTTCACAAGGATGTGATGCCAGGTGAAAAGCAGTAGCAGATTACCAGGATAAATCTGAATCTTAGATTATCCTGACTTATTGACAGGAAAACTTTGGGATTTAATGAATAAAACTAATAAAAGATTAAGGGCTTTATCCCAAAAGCTTCCAGGAGTTCGCCAATAAGCGTGGTGTTCCTGGAAGCAATCAGTTGTAATTAGAAGGCTGTGTTTTTTCACATGTGAATCTATGTGGTCCCTGTGTTTTTCCTCAGGTTACCATTTCAAATGAGACCAGGGAGCTG